GGCTGGCTCTTTGATCAACTCCCCCTGATGGGGAAGCAACCTTACCAGGCTACAGAGGAAGACAATGCAGATAGTCCTGATAAGACCTGATAAGCTAGGTTCAGATGGAAGGGGAGGAGGACCACCCCTATCAGTAGACTTGGAGAGGGGCAAGGAAAGGGATGAGGGAGAGAGGGTGGAATGAGAAGGAAATGAGGGAGAGGGCTACAGCTGGGATACAAAGTGAATAAACTATAATTAATATAAAAAATAAAATTGAAAGATAGTACAGAATTGACTTACTATGCATTCTTTTTTAATTTTCATTTTATTTTTATTAATTATAGTTTATTCACTTTGTATCCCAGCTTGAGCCCCTCCCCCGTTCCCTCCCAATCCCACACCCTCCCTCTTCTTTTCCTATGCCCCTCCCCTAGTCCAATGATAGAGGAGGTCCTCTTCCCCTTCCATCTGACCCTAGTCAATCAGTTCTCATCAGGACTGACTTCTTTGTCTACCTCTGTGGATGGGTAAGGCTGCTCCCCCCTCAGGGGGAGGTGATCAAAGAACCAGCCCATGAGTTCATGTCCCTGTTCCTATTGTTGGTGAACCCTCTTAGACACTGAGTTGTCATGGACTACTTCTGTGCAGGGGTTCTAAGTTATCTCCATACATACCATGCATTCTTATCTCCTGGAAATTTTTCATATTTATTCATTTTTAATATCTTACCTTTCCTCTGACCTGTGGTCTACCTTCATCCCATCAATGTGATGATTGTGGAGAAATGAGAGAGAATTCTTTGTCCTGGGTTAGCTTCCTGAGTTACTTACTGATGAGAAGCAGATAGTTTTATTTTTTTCTTTTTGACACAGAAACACCCTGCCAAGTTCTCTGAACTAGGAAGTACATATATTTAAATAGCAACTTTTAAATAACTTACAGGTTGACTAGTGTATCTACAATGCTTCTTTCCCTTGAAGGTATTATCTCACAGTGTCTGTTGGGCCCATGGCATAAGCCTGTGGCTTTTGTTCTGCTTTCAAATAGATCATTACTTCTCCATGTTATCAGTTGTCTATGTGCAGGAGAAAGAAGGGTTTTCAAAGGTGTGCTTGTCTAATCCCTGGTCCGGTGAATAAGTTAAATGGAGTGGCAAGAGAGAATGTAGTGCCCAGTGGAATTAAGGTGATTAATCAACTTACTCTGACATGCAATGATCCTAAAATTTCTAAGTAGACCTGATGACAATCATAGAGATCCCACAATACAAAAAACAGAGGAATAAGAAGCAGAGTAGTGCAGCACAAGGAAAGTCACAGTCTGTCATTTTTGGTTTTGATAATTGAAGGGACCATAAGCCAAGTTGTTCATGACCTCCAAAGGATGAAACAATTAAGAAAATAAACCTTCCTCTTGAGCTTCCAAAGGGAATGTGGTACCACCAGCTCACTCATTTGGACCTCCAAAATCATAAGACAATAAATTTGCATTGCTTTAATACAGCAAGTTAGCTGGAGTTTGTTATAGCAATCACAGGAAAGCAATGTACTAGAGTATCCATAAGATTCATGCCTGAAACCCTGAAATTAGCACTGGAGAGATATTTCAGTTGGTGAAAGATCTGCTTTGCAGTCATAAAGACCTGAGTTCACCCTGAGCATGGAGAAGCCTAGTTGGTGCCCACATAGAGTTCTAGTGTCTTTTGTTATGGAAAGGTACTCTTCAGGTTACCCAAAGAGGAAAGTAAATACCAACCTAGCCACAAAACCTTTGATCTGCAATCTTTTTTGCCTGATGGTAAGGCAGTGGGCACAGAGTTTGTGTTTCATTTGACTTAAGGCTGACTACATGAGACAGAACCCTCACCAGAGACTAGATATCCCAGAGACCTAGGGTAAAACCAAGGTCTAAAACTAGTATCAATAAAATGACTCCCGATGACATATTGCTATGCTCATAGCTCAGTGCCTTATTAAGGCATCATCAGGAAAGCAGAGATCCACAGCCAGATATTATGTAGAGGGAGAAAGAGAGAAAGAGAGAGATCTTGAAACACAAAGCTCTAAAAGGTGTGTTTCCATCAAATCTGTCCCCTCCTAGCTCAGAGAACTCCATGGAAGAGGAGGCAGAAGAGTATAAGAGCCAGAAGGGGTGGAGGATATCAGGAAAAAAGGCCCCTCTGGGTCAATTAAGCAAGACTCATATGAGCTTCCAGAGACTGAAGCAGCAAGTGCAGGGCCTACACCATGTCGTGTGTGTGTGTGTGTGTGTGTGTGTGTGTGTGTGTGTGTGTGTGTG